TTGCATTCTCCCATGGCACATCTGCTGCAAACCACTCGTGTGCGTCGGACAATACCAGTCTGCAAAGCACTTTGTCCCCTACAAAAGCTTTTGGAACGACTTCAAGTCCAACTTCTCACATGTAAGGCATCACAGCACAGCACTGCACTTTCTACGAGCTGGTCTCACCTTTTTTAGAATACTCAAAAACCAGCTTGTCTCACATGTAAGGCGGCACTGCACTGCATTGCACTTGCTTGCAAACCTCACATCAGCCACCAGCGGATCATCGAACGTTTTTGCCATACATGAATCGACAGCTCAGCTCATTTTAGTAAATCAGTGCTGTGAATTATATCACGGCCATGTGTCGTGCCACAGGCCAAGGCAACTCCTGTAGCACATCACATGCCACATACATACCTGACACCTGTCCTCTTGTTTGCTCTCCTGTCCTGTCCTTTTGCAGATTGTAGACCCTTCCCTTCCACAACCGCCTCTGGTACGAACTGATCCTGCTTTTTCCAGCTCTCCTTTCATCTGCTCTGCTTCTCTATCCTCTGCTCTCCTGTCCTGTCCTTCCATCTGCTCTTCTGCGCTTCCTGTACTTTTCTGGAACTGCCGCTAGTGTTTCGTAGCTGCCAATCCCTGCTTTTGTCTGGGGACCCAGTGCAAACCCTCTCTTCCCATTACCCATCTGAATGTGCTGCAGAGTGCAAGAAATGGCTTCTGCGCCGTGGGTAAAGAGCCTCGCAACTGCTTTCTTTTTGCCCTATATTATTTCATGCACAATTCGTGGACACTGTTTGGATATTGAAGACGAATCATGTGTAAGCATTGTAAAAATATTGACGCTGCGAAACCTGAATCACCTGCATTCCGCCCTTCTAGCCTCCGAAAGTAATACACCAATCTTATTTCCAACTGACATTTGTTTCTCATTTCAAAGCAAAATGTACAGCGTTTGACATGGGAGTTGGCGAGGCAACCCTAAAACGCTTCCCAGCGATACAATAATGAGCTTGCTGCCAGCAAATCTACTGTAGCCGTACAGACAGGTTCCGTGCGGTGGGATCCTCTGACGGACGACACGATTGACGGACGAACGGACGGACCGATGCGGACTGATGGACGAACGGCGACGTGGATAGTGGCGAGTTGGAACAATCGAAGCTCTTCCGGGAAGCAGGGACGAAGAGCGAGCTAAAACACGGAGGGAAGCAGCAGCGGCGCAGGTGCAGCAGTGAGGAAGCAGATGTTCTGCGATGTGGTGGCCTGCACACAACGAAACGGATAGAATATCATCGTTAGCATGGCAAGAAAAGCAGGAAAATAAAATAATAAAAACACCGCATGGCAGCGTCGGCTGAAGCAACGACACGGCGCGGAAGAGGAATCGGAAGAAGCGTAAGTACTCACGCTATCAGCGCTGGCCTGCCTCCGCAGCCCACGGTCGCAGATAATGGCGCGACGCAGAGCATCTGCGCATTATCGAAGCAGGAAACGAGCACGAAAAAAAAACACGAGCATATTAGCGCGAGTCGACAGGTAGGAAAACGAAAGAAATCTTACAGCATCAACCTTAAAAAAAACACAAGGCAACGAAGGAGAATCAAACGAATCACGATGACATCATACGGCGCCGCACCTTTCTCCTCAAGAGTACGGCCGCTAGGCGAGGTCTGGAGGCGCTTCATCATCGAGCGCACTTTCCGGCGGCGCTCGTCGTCCTCGGAACCCTCCTCGACGTGCATGGCCTGGTCGACCACGCGCTCCACCATAAGCTTCTTCTCCGCGGCGCTAGATTCCGTGGTTGTGGTGCCGTCGAAGATGGTACTAACGACGGCCTCCTCGTTAGCCTGCTCGACGTGCCCCGCGTGGCACGCTCCCGTGTCGTCGACGTAAATGGGCAGGCCCATGTGCACGGCGCCCTCGGCGTCAGCGTACACGACGCGGGTGGCGACCTGAGTAACCTCCACGGACTCCATAAAGAGTTATGCGGAGAGAGTGAGAGGGCGAGAAGAGGCCAGTAGGGATTGCAGCAGCAGTGGGGAGAACTGCTTTCCGGCGGAAATAAACTCAAGCGAAGATAACAAGGCGGACTCGTTGAAGGCAAATTCAGGCTATGAACGATACGGTAACGCTGGTGGAGGATTGCTGGTAAATACAAGCAAAAATCGTTCTGTAAATAGAGAAATGTCAATCGTGAAGGCTGAGAAAGGTTTGCTGAATGGATTGCTGGATTGAGCAAATTGAGACCTTCTTGTATTCCCTGGCGCGGGGGGAGGTTGGGGGTCGAAAATCGTCAGGTTGGCGGAAAGAGGGGGGGGGGGGGGGGGGGGGGGGGGGGGGGAGGGGGTGTGTGGGGGGGGGGAGTGGTACGGGGTTCGGGGGAGAATGCGTTGGGAGGAAAGCGCGGAGAGCGGTCGGAGCGCGGCCGTTAGATGAAGAATATGCTGCAGCGCGCAGGCATTCATCGTCCCCCCATACTCAACTAACCAACCCCTAAAGCGGGACTGGGTTCGTTCTTTTTGGTGCTGCGCCTCCGCCTACAACCCTTCATCAACACCGCGTTACCCGAACCGCGTACAGCCTTTCCAGTTTCCCCACGTGAAATCCCGATGACCGAGCCAACGCAGCAAAGTCGTGTCCGATGCGATTCGTCTTCAGCACGTGCTGGAGCTGCCAGCCTCATCTCCTATGGCCCACGATGATTGGTGCATTTGTGAACTACGACACTGGTTGCGAAAACTGTTGTTCCACCGTGGCTCGCGAATACTAACGCCTCGGTGTAACACATATCGCTGCTGATTCTAAACTAAATGCTGCTCAGGGAGTGGAGAGATCGCGCCAACGTGGCAAAATGAGGATGGTTATTGGTGTCATTGCAGAGTAATATTTCGTCATGCAGACCCTCATGTCTATCTGTAACCCACCAGCAGTCTTGCCAGCTCTTCGGTCTGTTGGAACTGCTTGTATCCACATCAGCATCACCAATCCCAAGATTGGTGGGTACACGAAACAGGCTATAAAATAACAACGTATACTAACTCAAATTGTTACCCGTCGCATATGATGTGAACTTGTGAACTTTCCCAAGTTCGATATCAATATAACTTCCCATATAATTCACACAAAACAGGTACAACTGAAATGAATGCTTGGGATTTTTCAATACCGTTTTAAAAATAGTTTGCACAAGCAAAGGTTTAAAACTAACATAAAGAATCCACGGCGACGAAATTAGCAATTGGTAGGTCTAAAAGCCTCCCTAAGCATATTCAAATAAATATAGTCTTGTAACGATAACAAGGTCAAATGGAAAATCAATCGTGTACGTTTTTGTAAAAAGAGAAACATTATTTATTAGAATTACTAGTAAAATTATAATTATTAATCTACTGATGTAATTCAGCAACTTTCAATAAGCAGAAAATGAAGTTATAGTGAAGAGAATTTATTTTTGAGCTTAAGAAATTGAAATACTTTCTTATTTACGCATAGATTAGTTGTTACACGGATATATTAACAGGGGGGCGATTGCACCCTCTTAGGGCGCGTAACTTTTTGTGAACCGGCAGTCCGGATGGCAGCAGTCTGGACCTAGGAGGTTACCGTCCTCGTGAATCTCGTTGGGTACCTCTGCTACGTCGCTCGCATATGCGGCCCATTTTGTGGCACTTTTGGAGAATTTAGTCGTCCGGACGATAACCGGACGAAATAATGGACCGCCAAACAGAAGCTCGTCCGAAACGCCGAAGCTCTGGGTTCGGCGAGGTGAGATGAAGTCTGACGTGTTTGCACAAGGCGAAGCAGCTAACGAGGCTAAACTGACCAGCCTCGATTTCTTGTGACTGGTTCGGCAACCTAGAACGCTGGTTGGGGCTTTTAGATCCAGTGCAGCACACGTCAAGGGTTGACGATCCCTATTGTCCGTTTTGCCACTGAAACGATATTTAGCCTACAGAACCGTTGTTTACCGCATATGAACTGACGATTTCGTTCTGGGGCACACCGAAAACTGTACCTTCCCCCTAAACTCTCCTCCATCCCTCTCCTATCGAGATTTGAGATTGCAACCTTTCTCCAAATCTCCCAATCCTGTCAGTTCGTTACGTAGCTGCTCTCTTTGACAACATCAAAGGTCTGTCCTTGTTTAGGGTTTCGCCTTTCCACCTCCATCTCCCTCTGCAGTCATTTTTCGTCTCCTATTTCCCGAATCTCTGCTTCCGATTCCTGATCTTTGAAGCACGAGCCTCGTGCATCCTTGTCCACTCCCAGCTTGGATTAGGATCACCGACATTGTTGACGTCTGCATGGTATACGTGTTATGGAGTCTTTGAAAAATGTGCTGGCGTCAAAGGAAGGGGCTGGTGGATCAGTTGCGTCAACTGGAGGAGGGACTAGGTACGTTCCTACACCTGTTCCGTCTCAGGTCGATGTACGGGAGTATTCCGAAGGTGGTTATTTTGTCCTTGTACATTGTTCTTGCTGATCCGATACCATTCCAGGCAGATAGAAATATGTGCATTTGATACTGGAACGTAAGCTTAGGCCCATGGTGCGAGCAGCTATTTGCAATCGATGGCGCTCTTGGTCCTCTTCTCGTCTACACATTTTCGTTGCGTCATACTGCAAAGGTATAACATTTGGCGTATTTAACAACAATCAGTGGCCACTATGAGACAAAAAAGATGTGTTGGTTAGTTTCCAGTTTGGCGTAGAATGACACTACTCTTAACCACGCGTACTTGGGAGAATGCCTAGGTTGGAAGCCAGATCTACTGTTCCGCTCTAATGTCCGCATTTAGAAATCCCATGACAGGCTTCTCCTGTTGTTGGGTGAGGACATTTGCCAACAATGTCTGGAAAAACTTCTCCCAACACTAGCCCTTCAACATGATCGTTGTATTGCCTAGAAATCTCGCCAACCACGTAATGTTGGTGGATTATTTTTTTCTACTTCTTCTGTCGTTTCTTACATTTATTTTCCCTACCTGTCGTGTGCCAAATGTATACAGCGAGGATGGAACCTTCAGCTTCGGGTTTTCGCAACTTCGCGGAAAGCGTCTGTTTATGGAAGATTTCCAGGATGCACGGATAGCGAAGGTTGGCGATCAAATTATTGGACTTTTCGGCGTCTTCGACGGTGAGTCTTGCTTCAATGTCTCATGTTCCGTCGCGTGATCTGTTTGCTGTGTTCGAACGAACGAGGGTATCAGCTGTTTGTTGGGAATAATATATATATATATATATTTTTTTTTGTTATATATATTAGTGTGTCCCACACATATTTGAAGTATATAGCAATGGCAACAGACAATATCGGAACCTTCAAGAGATACTTCTATGTCAATTTACCTATCGCATGTAGAAACTCTATATTTTCGATAAATATCCTAAAATGTCAAATTACATTTCAACAAGCATACAGACATGCATAAGCCCTTCCTAGAAGTGTCTTACTACCTCAAACATCAAAAGACCATCGCCAAAACCCGAAACAAAGTATTGCTTCCTAAGACATCTACAGCCGCATGTCGACCAAGTAGGGCACGTCCACCCATGGTGCTCCCTCTCCAAACTCCTGCTCCCCACTCCCTCGCTCCACCCACTCCGCCTCGGACTGACCCAACGTGTATGCCGCCCGCAAAAGAATCACCCGAGCCTGTGCCTTTTGCAAAGCTACCCCTGCCGCGGCTGTCAAGGACCCCACCAAGTATTCCGAGAAACCCGAGCTGTTGCCCCTTCCCACACCTTTGTTAAGAGCCACCTTTACTTGAACCTCCCCCTGCTGCCGTAACCACTGTCGAAAGCTTCCCCCCAAGCAACCCCAAGTCTCAAAAATCAACGGGAAGAAACGAACCCCCCTGTGCTGCCGCAGAAAAGGTTGATAATCCGTCGCCTTCCTCTTCTCTCGCTCCTTGGCAGCAAAACCTACTGTCTGCCCACACTGCCCACGCTGCTGCACCGGTAGCGAAACCGGATCCACGACGCTCACCTCGAGCGCATGTTTTTCCCCGTCCATTGGTTTCCTAACCGCCACATCCACTCTCTTCCCCGGCAGAAGCGTGTCATCCTCGATCGTAACCACCCCACCCGATGCCTTGGCTATCTTAGCAACAACGAGCTTCACTGCATCATGAACACGAGACAGGGCGTACTGGTACTTGCACCGAAGAGCATGGTGCGGATCTGACGGGTCCTTGAACTCCACACCGCAAACACACTTGCCAGCAACCAGAAGCTGGTGGACGGGAAGGCCCAAACGGATTGCCGCCGAAATGCCCCACTCCACAGGGGTGAAAGTTGCGTCATCATGCGCTGGAACTGCGGACACCCATGCTGCCGAACCCGGGCCCTGAAGGGAAGTCAAACGGGCCAAGGTAGCATCATCGCGGGCCATGCGCCGCAGAGACTGAAGACTTTCAACCGCCAAGCGACGCTGCTGCGCTGGGGAAAGCTGGAGGGGGGGATTTGTAGTGCAGAGCCCCAAACTCGGCAATTCCTGCCTGACAACAGGCGGGAGCTGATCAAGGGCCTTGGTAAACCAAGGGTCCAGTAAATCCCCAGCCGGCGGAGTGCGGAAGAACTCACTTAACATCTGCTCCTCGCCCGCTACTCCCAGCTTGACAACAGCACTCGCAGCCTGGCACCACCCACAGACGTAAGAGAGAGGGCTAAGAGTTGCTGCTGAACGAATGCCAAACCCGCCCAAACGAGCCGGGAGGTGCAGCTGCAGGTGAGCCATGCGCGACCTATCAGGACTGAAGTCCCAAGTGTCTGGCGGGAAAAGTTGCTCAAAGCACTCTTCCAAAGCCCCATCCCAATCTTTGAAAGCGTCAAGAACCTCAGGACGAGGGGGAACAGTGCGAGTCAAGAAGAGCGGCCGCGCAGACACGGCAACAGCCAACAAATGGGAGGCAATCTAGGGGTGGTTCAAAATAGGAAGCCAAGGTAGAGGTGATCGCAGCTGCAAAAGTCTCTCCCTCAAGCGCGCCACCTCCCAATCCTCCTCTCCAATAGGTACCCCCACCACTGTTAACCCCGTCCACGACTGCTGTATTCCCAGCGGAATATCCCCAGACGCTGCCGCCTCCCCTCTTTCCCACATCCTACACTTGTGCGATTGCACCTCCAAGCCCACCCACTCCAGTCGCTCCCGCAAGACATCGTACGCCGCCAACACCCGCTCCCGCGGGCCAAGAACGTAGGTGTCATCAGCGTAGCTCAAGAAAAGAAGATCAGGGAAATCCTTCATTGTAGGCCCCATAACCAACTGCTGCGTGAAAGCAAAAAGGAAGGGACCAAATGGATCCCCCTGTCGCGAACCCCGCTCGGACGCCAGCATCTCGACAAAGGGGCCTGTGCGAAGGTACAGACCGCTGGGCACCCTATAAAAGACGCGTAAGAAAGGGATAAGACCAGCAAAAGGAGAATCGCGGAGGCCGTCGAACATCACGTGCCGATGGAACGAGTTGAAGGCATTCGCTACATCGATCTGCAGCGCGCACCACGTCGGATGAACCGCTACAGCCGAGCGGAAAGCATGCGCCAGAACCTCCACCCCCGACTTAGTCCCCACCCCTAGTTGGTTACAAGGAGCGAAGTAGGTCTCCATGTCGGGACGAAGAAGAACGCATAACGCACGCGCCAGAATCCGAGGGAGCACCTCTCCGATAGCCACTGGGCGGACGTCCCCGTTCGGCTTGGATAACCCAACCAAGTTCGAGGCTGCAAGCCAGGGCCGCACCCGCTCAGAAACGCATCCCGAAATCCACTGCCTGAACACCTCCAACAGATGCGGGAGATAGATAGGCTCCGAGAGAAATGTGTCTCGGAGGTGCTCTGTCATCCATCCTGAGGGGCCTGGTGCTGAGGCTCGCGCTGCGGAATGAATAGCATGCTTGAGGATGTCTTCAGTTAGGTGGGGAAGATGAGAAACGTCTATGCGAAAGTGCTCCACCCACTCAGGAACTGGCACCTCACTGGCCGGGTGCTTTGCTGTCAGCCGGTCTACTGTTAGTTGAGAGGGCTGCGCCAAGTCGCCCGCAGTAAGGCATGCTAGTCCTCGACTCCATTCCCCCACTTGGCACCTCGTGCGACATCGGGCCAAACGGATGGCATCAGCAACTCGCTCAGGTAAGGAGAAGGCAAGAGGTCGCGCCGCCGGAGTCAACGTGGCAGAGGCAGCCTCGAACAGCTGTTGCCATTCCCCTGCCCAGAACTTTCCGAGACGCCCTACTATGGCTGCCCTTCGTCCAAGACCCTCCTTCGCGGGGACTCCCAAAATGAGGCGCGGGAAGGCCAGGAACATCAGCGTCGCCGCCTCATCCCCAGGGGAAGCCTTCAGTCTCTTGAGAATGCAGCACAATGCATCAAGCACCCCCAGTCGCGCCCGCTGCGGGACCCGACGAAGAAGCTCTTCCGACACAGAATGAATACTGAAAAAAGTCTCCCAGTCCCACGAAGGCACCGCCCCCCACACCTCCTCGCCGCTATCCCGCGGAGGTACTGGATCTGCCCCGAAGACCTCGCTCAGGTTCGGGGAGGAAGTAAGGGCCTGAGCCCGCCGCTGAGCATCTGCCGCTTTACATGCAACTATGTGGCGGGAGGCCGCACCACCAGGCGGAAATGTGTGAAAGCAGAACTCGCAAGGGACACAAGTTGGAGCAAGTGGAGCCGTGTCAGGAGTGGCTGAATTCTCCGCAACCCCCGGTGTGGGGCTTTCCGGAGGGATCGGGGGGGGCTGCTGCTGCTGCTGCTGCTGACGCTGCTGCCGCTGCTGCTGCCGCTGCCGCACGCCCTGAAGTGCTGCCCTCGCCCCCAGCTGCCCCCCTGCGTGCTGCACGCCCTGAGGTGCTGCAGTCACCCCCTGCTGTCCCGCTGCCTGCTGCACGCCCTGGGGTGCTGCAGTCACTCCCTGCTGTCCCGCTGCCTGCTGCACGCCTTGAGGTGCTGCAATCAGTCCCTGCTGTCCCCCTGCCTGCTGCACGCCCTCAGGTGCTGCAGTCACTCCCTGCTGTCCCGCTGTTTGCTGCATGCCCTGGGGTGCTGCAGTCACTCCCTGCTGTCCCGCTGCCTGCTGCACGCCTTGAGGTGCTGCAATCACTCCCTGCTGTCCCCCTGCCTGCTGCACGCCCTCAGGTGCTGCAGTCACTCCCTGTCGTCCCCCTGCCTGCTGCACGCCCTGGGGTGCTGCAGTCACTCCCTGCTGTCCCCCTGCCTGCTGCACGCCCTCAGGTGCTGCAGTCACTCCCTGTTCCCCTGACAGTGGCCGCCGTCGCACCAGCTGGCCTCCCGGACGTTGGCTCGTAAGCGGCCGCCTCAACTCGCCCTCTGCCTGCTGATCCTGCTGATTGCCCGACCGCTGCTTGCCCTGGCCTCCGCGTCGCCTCCTGCCCTTGCCTCGTGGCAGTTGGTCGTCCAAGGGCCCCTGCGCCTGAGCGCCCAGCTCACGCAGCTGCTGCCCTCTCTGATCCGTTTCCCCTATCTGCAGCTCCCCAGGAGGAACAAAAAGATCTTGTTGGTGCTCCCCACTGTGGCCCGAGAGCTGTGACACAGGCACCAAATCTGTCTCCATTTCTTGCTGCTCCACTCGAAGTGGGCTCGCTACACCCATGACTTCCCATGTATCACCCACCCAGGTGCCCAGCTGCTGCCCCTGCTGCTCTCCCGGGTGCTGCTCCTCCAGCCTCAGTTCTTGCTGCTCCCCTGGCTGCATTTCCTGCTGCTCCCCTGGCTGCATTTCCTGCTGCTCCCCTGGCTGCATTTCCTGCTGCTCCCCTGGCTGCATTTCCTGCTGCTCCCCTGGCTGCATTTCCTGCTGCTCCCCTGGCTGCATTTCCTGCTGCTCCCCTGGCTGCATTTCCTGCTGCTCCCCTGGCTGCATTTACCGCTGCTCTCCTGGATGCATTTCCTGCTGCTCCCCCCGTTGTATTTCCTGCTGCTCCCCTGGCTGCAGCTCCTGCTGCTCTCCTGACTGCATTTCCTGCCGCTCTCCTGGCTGCATTTCTTGCTGCTCCCCCCGTTGCATTTCCTGCTGCTCCCCTGGCTGCAGCTCCTGCTGCTCCCCAGGCTGCAGTTCCAACTGCTCCCCCATCTGCATTTCCTGCTGCTCTCCTGGCTGCCGTGCCTGCTGCTCCCCCATCTGGATTTCCTGCTGTTCCTCCCCTATCTGCATGTCCTGCTGCTCCCCTGGCTGCCGTTTCTGCTGCTCCCCTGGCTGCCGTTCCTGCTGCTCTCCTGGCTGCATTCCCTGCTGCTCCCTCATTTGCAGTTCCTGCTGCTCCCTAAGCCACAGTTTCTGCTGCTCTCCTGGCTGCCATCCCTGCTGACCTTCGCCCAGCTGCTCATGCTGCCGGGGAGGCAGCCCACCCTGCTGACTCCACTGTTGTTGCCTTTCAAACTGCTGCTCCTGCAACTCACTTGGCTGCCTTTCCGACTGTTGCTCGTGCTGGCCCGCGAGGCGCCCTCGTTGAGCAGTCCCGCTACGACCACGACCGCGACCTCGACCACGACGGCGCACGCCCTCTTGCCCCGTGCTCGCGGGCTGCACACCTTGTCCTTGCGCGCTCCGAAAGAGAAAAGTATGTTCCACAGCTCCAGCCCATCCCTTTAGAGACGCCCCCGTTCGTGCCTTCGGGAAGGGATTGATGTCTCTAGTCTCCCCTGCAGCCACCGGCAGACCCTGCTGCATCGCCGACAGCGTTTCCGGTTGCTCCCTCCCTTGTTTCCGTCCCTGTTCCCCACGCTCCCAATGCTCCTCCTCGAGTAACTCCCCCTGGACCTTTGTCGGCAGGCCTAGCTGGCCCTCCGCCAGACGGCTCGGCTGCCTCCTCAGCACCTTTTCCGGCAGGCCTGCATCCGTCACCCCCTGCTGCCCACCTGCCCCGCACTCCCGGCCCTCATCCGCCAGCAGGGCCCCCTGCACCTCCTGCCTCCCCGCTGTCGACTCCGCCTGCTCTGCCGTCGCCCACTCTTGCCGACCGCCCGTGCCAGCTACCAACAAACGCCTCAGCTCCTGCCGTCGTGCCAAGCGCGGTCCAAGTGGAGCCCTGCTAGGACCCACTGAAGCTCCAAGAGTGCCGGGCGACTCTGTTGCCGTGGCACCAAGTGGAAGCTCGCGCCGCCGCCTATTATGCAGCTCTTGCAAGTGCCGGCGTTGCGCCTCCCACGCCGCCACTGCCCTGTCCATCCCCGGATCACTTGGTTCCTGCCCACGCCCATCTACCCCTCGGGTGTCTTGTGCATCCACCAGCCCAGAGGATGCGTGTGGGCAATTGGGCGATGCTTGCTGGTCTACCGAGGGCGTGCGTGGGGTAACAGCCGCCTCCCGCTGTTCACCAACCGTGAGTGGTGCCTCAGCCAAAGGAGGCTGAGCATCCCCATTACTAAGCCGCTGCGAAGTTCCTGAGAGCGGCGGTACACCGAGCATGTCGTTGGTACTCATGGGGGCGGCTGGTGCCTCGCGGTGTCGTTTGCATGGTGTCCCCTCCGAGCAAAGTCGGTCTACCGAGCTCAGGCGCCGGAGACCGAGGAGGAGTGGCTGCGTAGGGCCTACCCAAGGCCGCTTGAGAGTGTTTGCTTGGGGCTGCGCTACATACTCCCGAGCGCTAGTGCCTGAGTGCCTGTCTGGGTCAGCAAGTGCTTCCGCCTCGCCATGCGGTGCCTGCGTAGGTGTGTGCTCGTGCTGCAAGTCGGCCATGCCGTGGATCCTGTAGCGCCTGTCTAGATCCGCGCTCTTCAGTTCCAGCTCCTAGCAACAAGAGAGCCCGGTGTGCCCGTGTGGCGGGGTAGCGAGATGGTGAGACTGAGGGTGACGAATGCTATTTCCGTGATGACTGGAATTGCGTGCTCTTGCGGAGTGTTCTCCAAAATCCACTTGCTTGCCGTTTCATCCATCCCATTCTCCTCCTCAGGCCATGGCGGTTCTCGGGCAGCGGAGTACGTGAAGGAGCATCTGTTCAAGAATCTTATTGACCATCCAGAATTTGCCACCAACATAAAGCAAGCAATTTGTAAGTTAAAGGAGAACGTTTCTGCGAATGGACGTATATCTCCTCAGCCTCTCCCTCCAGCTTCCCAATCGCACTTTTCCGCTCATCCCCCCACCTTCCATCCATTCCGTATTTTCCCTCCACATGTTTGAGTTATTTTTCGTCCAGAAACACACTTTCTTCTCTCCTCCTGCTGCTGGCTGTTGCCGCTGCTTATTCTGCTGCTGCTGCTTCTCAATTCCTGTGACCCGATTTCTGGCAGCCGAGACATTCAAGCGGACTGACGACGCGTACCTGAGCACGGACAACGGGCAGAACCGCGATGCGGGAAGCACGGCGTCGACGGCAGTGTTGATGGGCAAGAAGCTGCTCGTTGCCAATGTCGGTGACTCCAGGACAGTCGTTTGCAGAAAGGGTCAAGGTATGTCCATGCATGCCCGTGCCGCTGTGCTCGCGTCGTGATGCTCTTGCGTTTGTACTCGTGTTGCTCGTGCGCATGCTCGTTCGCGCATGCTCGTTTTTCCCCGTCTGCGATCATCTGCGATGCGCCCTCGTCGGTCGCACCATACGCATGTCTCTCGGCATGCCTCCCGCTCGTGTCCCTTTTGGCAACAGACGCTACGAAACACTTGCTTTTGGCTTTGTAGCATGTTTTCTGGTCTATTTTTCAGCGGATCAGGTTGATGGACACCATTATGTATCAGATTGCTAACCGTTTTTTTTCGGTATCATTCCTTGCTCTGTGTCGCGGTGGAAACCACGTTCGTTTACAGCAACTCCACTCTCGAAGGATCACAAGCCAAACCGGGTGGACGAGAAGGAGCGAATTGAACAAGCCGGTGGCTCCGTCATGTGGGCTGGTGAGCCTCCTGTCCTGTAGCATAATCTAGATACGCACCCTCTCACCATGGCTCCTCTCGCCGTCCCATAATCTTTCCCGCCCCTAACTTCGTGCAAGTGCGTCTGTACAATCTCGGCCTTGTTTTTGAAGTAGACTCACCTGGCCAACTTGTAAGTTCTCCGATATGCTTGGATTCGGCATTGAGTTAGGCCAAACAGCGCCCTCACGGCGCCGAACTAGGAAATCCCCAGAGAGTGCTTTCAGACTTTTCCACATGAGAGTGTGGTGGTTGGTAGGCGTGCTTGATGTTGGCGTGATGTGTTGTTGCCTTCTTTCCGCACTAGCTTTGTTATTCCATGACTGGCCTCCTTGCAACGTTTTTGTCCTTCCACGTCTCTTGCCTTTCCGTCTGCGCGTCCGTCCGGCGTGCGTGTGAACCCCTGCCCGCGTATTCACGCATGCACTGACTGTCCTGCTGTCCGCAGGAACGTGGCGAGTGGGTGGCGTTCTTGCCGTCTCTCGTGCGTTTGGAGACAAGCTACTTAAACGATACGTCGTGGCCGAGCCGGAAATCGAGGTACACACACGTCAGGTTGATCCGTTCGCTCTCTGCGTACTCTGCCTACTCACTCTGTGCTCTCCCGTTACAGCGTTCCTTGTGCTTCCAAATACACACTGTCACACCTCCTTGTATCCATGTTTAGTCCCATTTCCTCCCCAATGCATCCCAACTCTCCATCCCTCCACCCTGTATCTCGCGTATGCTTTCTCTTCTCTCGTCTCCTCTTCTCGTTTCTCCTCGTCTCTCACTCTCTTACTCCTCTCCTTCCCCCGCCGCCCTCGCTTTCACTCTCCGTCACCTGCACTCCCAGGAGTATGATGTGACGGCGGAGGACGAGTTCCTTGTGCTGGCCAGTGACGGCCTCTGGGATGTCGTCAAGGATCAGGTCAGTGCCAGTGCCAGTGCCATCTACCAAGTGATTTTGATGGTTTCCTCCCCTTCCCCACTCCCTTCCCCCACTCCTTGCTCCCACTCCCCCGCCCCACTCCCCTTCTCCACTCCCCTCCCCTCACCCCCTCTCCTCCCCCACTCCCCTCCCCTCCCTCCCACCCATCCCTTCCACCACTGCCGAACACCCATGCATAAGCCACATTCGCTCACTTGATCCTATCCTTCCCATCTGGTCCTTTCGCTTTTTGATCGTGCATATTGTGGTCCCTCTGTCCCTCCGTCCCCATTCTCCCTTGTCACATGTCCACCCTTCCACAACCCCCCTTCCACCCCCTCTCTGCTCCCCCCCCACGCGCCCCCCCTTCGCTCCCCTTCTCCTGCCCGCCCGCCCTCTCCCCCCTCTCCCCTCTCCCCCGTTCTCCTTCCGCCCACGGCCCTGCAGGACGCGATCAACATGGTGCAGCAGACGCTGGACGCGGAGGAAGCGGCCAAGTTCCTCACACAGGAGGCGTACCGCCGCGGCAGTGCCGATAACATCACCTGCGTCGTCGTGCGCTTCCTGCACGTGCAGGACGGCACTGCTGCTGCTGCCCACTAAAGCTCGTGCACGTCCACGCGAGCGCAAATGCGTGGCACTGGGTTGCTCTGAGCAGCTTGCTCTGACCACTTGCTGGGGCTCCAGTCCATTTGCTGGCTGCTAGATCGTTTACTGGAGGCTTCGGGCTGTGACTGTGCTGCTCTTGGTCACTTGGATGGAACTTCTTCCTTCGCCGCATGCTTCTTCTCATTGGCTCACCATTGCATTCTCCTTGCCTCCTCATTGCACCTCGTTCATTATCACATGCATCCTTCTCTGCTCTTCCCCCTCCTCCTCGCACCCTACCCTCTTCCGCTCTCTCTCGCGCGCTTTCCCTCACTCTCAAACACGTGCACTGGCCTGGTTGTGTAGCACTAGTTTGCATGCGTCTAGCTGAGACATCAACCATCATCAGCAGCAGATGCAGCAGTGCAAGTAGCAGCGAACAGCAGCAGCAGCAGCAGCAAAGGGCTCATCATGGTCGGCTAGCAAACTATGGTAGCAGAAGCTTGTTGCGAGCTAGGCTGGACTGGGCTATCTCTGGGCAGGTTGAGAAGTCTTATATTTTGTTTCTTTTTTTTTCCTATCCTTCTTCCCCTGCTAGAAAGGTATATTGTGTGCGACGCGACTGCAGATGGGCTGTCAGTCCTGATATACAATCAGAGTGGGGATGAATGATGCAGGAAGTCTGGGGAGGGAGGGTAAGTTGGTTGTGAAGGGAAGCACTTCAGCTTTTATTTTGGAGGTCTTACTGTAGAGTGACAGTTATGAATGTAGGAAGAGGATTTCATGAATCTCAGAATGGACTAGAGTTTGCAGCCATTATGTGTCACTAAAACCAGCAAATATTTCTCAAAAGTTTGTGCCTCTCGTTTTGCCCTTGCAAGGACACGAAGACACCACACTCCAAATGAAAATTCCACATGGTACGGTAGCAAAACGCTATGCTTGCCAGGGTGTGAGAGGGGTCAGTTGAAACTTGGAATTGCACGTGTAGGTGGAGGGATGCAATATACCATATATCACAGGGCTGAACTGGGTGGGAGCCCCTGGTTTGCAGATTGAGACGTGCAAGCAGCCTTCAACTCAGAAAAGATACTACAAATTCTCATTGTACCTACGGGTAGTTGATCTTTGCAAGAGAAATCATTCAGAGCCCCAGCCCAGGTATACGTGCTGGTGCTGGGGCATGCGAGCAGCTTCTGGTGCTGCTGCGCCGACTAGGAGTCACTCTGAGTCCCGGTTCTGCATGTTGAGGCGCGCAAGTAGCTCCTGCTGCTGCTGCTCAGGTAAGGCCTGGAAGATGAATATCTCCAATGTCATCCTGTATGCACATACATGCGCACATGTACATTCACTCACACATGCACATTCACACATGTTTGCAGGCATGCACAAACAGACAAAAACATGTACACACATACAAACTTGTACACATACATGGTACCACTAATCATGGTTAACGCAAACAAGAGGCGGGAGCACACTTCTTTCCACTCCAAAATCTCCTTCCAAAACAGGTCTCCCCGCCTCGTGTTTCACCTCAGCAACCAAAGTCCCCCAAAGAGTCCCCACGATTGCCATCACTCACATCGCAGTACAATTCTCGAGGGCTCAGGGTAACGCGTTTCACGATACCTTGACGGGTTGGGTAACGCGTTTCACGATACCTTGACGGGTTGGGTAACGCGTTTCACGATACCTTGACGGGTTGGGTAACGCGTTTCACGATACCTTGACGGGTTGGGTGAACTTGCGAGCAGCGAAGACCGCAAAGAGCGCCATCCACACGGCGAGGAGACCCTTCTCGAATGTCACGTCCATGAGCCCACTCTTTAGAGAGGGGAAAGGGGAAGGGGGGAGAGGGAGAGCAGCAGAGAGAGCATCGAGAACAGGGTCAGCAAACAGCGCCCATCCACACGGCAAGGAGACCCTTCTCCACTGTCACGTCCATGAGACCACTCTTTAGAAGAGGGGAGGCGGGGAGAGGGGGGAGAAGGCGTAGGGAGAGCAGCAGAGGGAGCATCGGGAACAGGTCAGAAAAGAGCGCTATCGACACGGCGAGGAGACCCTTCTCCCGCTCTGGGGGAGAGAGGGGAGAGGGGGGAGAGGGGGGAGGAAAAGATGGCATAGGGAGAGCAGGAAATACAGAATAGGGAGCAGCGAAGACCGCAAAGAGTGCCATCCATACGGCAAGGAGAGGGGGACGGGGGGTTAGGAAGAGGGGGCATTGGGAGAGGGGGCATAGGGAGAGCAGCAGAGACGGCATAAAGAGCAGATTCAGCTTAAAGCGCCATCCACAAGGCGAGGAGACCCTTCTCCACTGTCACGTCCATGAGCCCACTCTGGGGGAGAGAGGGGAGAGGGCATAGGGAGAGGGGGGAGAGGGGGGAGAGGGGGGAGAGGGGGGAGGAAAAGATAGCATAGGGAGAGCAGGAAATACAGAATAGGGAGCAGCGAAGGCAGCAAAGAGTGCCATATACACTGCGAGGAGACCCTTCTCGAATGTCATGTCCATGAGACCAGTCTTTAGAGGGGGACGGGGGGGAGAGGGAGCGGTGGCATAGGGAGAGGGGCATAGGGAGAGGGGCATAGGGAGAGGGGCATAGGGAGAGGGGCATAGGGAGAGGGGCATAGGGAGAGGGGCATAGGGAGAGGGGCATAGGGAGAGGGGCATAGGGAGAGGGGCATAGGGAGAGGGGCATAGGGAGAGGGGCATAGGAGAGAGGGGCATAGGGAGAGGGGCATAGGGAGAGGGGCATAGGGAGAGGGGCATAGGGAGAGGGGCATAGGGAGAGGGGCATAGGGAGAGGGGCATAGGGAGAGGGGCATAGGGAGAGGGGCATAGGGAGAGGGCCATAGGGAGAGGGGCATAGGGAGAGGGGCATAGGGAGAGGGGCATAGGGAAGAGGGGCATAGGGAGAGGATAGGGAAGGGGCATAGGGAGAGGGGCATAGGGATGAGGGGCATAGGGGCATAGGGAGGCATAGGAGAGGGCATAGGGAGAGGGGCATAGGTGAGGAGGGGCATAGGGAGAGGGGGCATAGGGAGAGGGGCATAGGGAGAGGGGCATAGGGAGAGGGGCATAGGGAGAGGGGCATAGGGAGAGGGGCATAGGGAGAGGGGCATAGGGAGAGGGCATAGGGAGAGGGGCATAGGGAGAGGGGCATAGGGAGAGGGGCATAGGGAGAGGGGCATAGGGAGAGGGGCATAGGGAGAGGGGCATAGGGAGAGGGGCATAGGGAGAGGGGCATAGGGAGAGGGGCATAGGGAGAGGGGCATAGGAGAGGGGCATAGGGAGAGGGGCATAGGGAGAGGGGCATAGGGAGAGGGGCATAGGGAGAGGGGCATAGGGAGAGGGGCATAGGGAGAGGGGCATAGGGAGAGGGGCATAGGGAGAGGGGCATAGGGAGAGGGGCATAGGGAGAGGGGCATAGGGAGAGGGGCATAGGGAGAGGGGCATAGGGAGAGGGGCATAGGGAGAGGGGCATAGGGAGAGGGGCATAGGGAGAGGGGCATAGGGAGAGGGGCATAGGGAGAGGGGCATAGGGAGAGGGGCATAGGGAGAGGGGCATAGGGAGAGGGGCATAGGGAGAGGGCATAGGGAGAGGGGCATAGGGAGAGGGGCATAGGGAGAGGGGCATAGGGAGAGGGCATAGGGAGAGGGGCATAGGGAGAGGGGCCATAGGGAGAGGGCATAGGGAGAGGGGCATAGGGAGAGGGGCATAGGGAGAGGGGCATAGGGAGAGGGGCATAGGGAGAGGGGCATAGGGAGAGGGGCATAGGGAGAGGGGCATAGGGAGAGGGGCATAGGGAGAGGGGCATAGGGAGAGGGGCATAGGGAGAGGGGCATAGGGAGAGGGGCATAGGGAGAGGGGCATAGGGAGAGGGGCATAGGGAGAGGGGCATAGGGAGAGGGGCATAGGGAGAGGGGCATAGGGAGAGGGGCATAGGGAGAGGGGCATAGGGAGAGGGGCATAGGGAGAGGGGCATAGGGAGAGGGGCATAGGGAGAGGGGCATAGGGAGAGGGGCATAGGGAGAGGGGCATAGGGAGAGGGGCATAGGGAGAGGGGCATAGGGAGAGGGGCATAGGGAGAGGGGCATAGGGAGAGGGGCATAGGGAGAGGGGCATAGGGAGAGGGGCATAGGGAGAGGGGCATAGGGAGAGGGGCATAGGGAGAGGGGCATAGGGAGAGGGGCATAGGGAGAGGGGCATAGGGAGAGGGGCATAGGGAGAGGGGCATAGGGAGAGGGGCATAGGGAGAGGGGCATAGGGAGAGGGGCATAGGGAGAGGGGCATAGGGAGAGGGGCATAGGGAGAGGGGCATAGGGAGAGGGGCATAGGGAGAGGGGCATAGGGAGAGGGGCATAGGGAGAGGGGCATAGGGAGAGGGGCATAGGGAGAGGGGCATAGGGAGAGGGGCATAGGGAGAGGGGCATAGGGAGAGGGGCATAGGGAGAGGGGCATAGGGAGAGGGGCATAGGGAGAGGGGCATAGGGAGAGGGGCATAGGGAGAGGGGCATAGGGAGAGGGGCATAGGGAGAGGGGCATAGGGAGAGGGGCATAGGGAGAGGGGCATAGGGAGAGGGGCATAGGGAGAGGGGCATAGGGAGAGGGGCATAGGGAGAGGGGCATAGGGAGAGGGGCATAGGGAGAGGGGCATAGGGAGAGGGGCATAGGGAGAGGGGCATAGGGAGAGGGGCATAGGGAGAGGGGCATAGGGAGAGGGGCATAGGGAGAGGGGCATAGGGAGAGGGGCATAGGGAGAGGGGCATAGGGAGAGGGGCATAGGGAGAGGGGCATAGGGAGAGGGGCATAGGGAGAGGGGCATAGGGAGAGGGGCATAGGGAGAGGGGCATAGGGAGAGGGGCATAGGGAGAGGGGCATAGGGAGAGGGGCATAGGGAGAGGGGCATAGGGAGAGGGGCATAGGGAGAGGGGCATAGGGAGAGGGGCATAGGGAGAGGGGCATAGGGAGAGGGGCATAGGGAGAGGGGCATAGGGAGAGGGGCATAGGGAGAGGGGCATAGGGAGAGGGGCATAGGGAGAGGGGCATAGGGAGAGGGGCATAGGGAGAGGGGCATAGGGAGAGGGGCATAGGGAGAGGGGCATAGGGAGAGGGGCATAGGGAGAGGGGCATAGGGAGAGGGGCATAGGGAGAGGGGCATAGGGAGAGGGGCATAGGGAGAGGGGCATAGGGAGAGGGGCATAGGGAGAGGGGCATAGGGAGAGGGGCATAGGGAGAGGGGCATAGGGAGAGGGCATAGGGAGAGGGCATAGGAGAGGGGCATAGGGAGAGGGCATAGGGAGAGGGGCATAGGGAGAGGGGCATAGGGAGAGGGGCATAGGGAGAGGGGCATAGGGAGAGGGGCATAGGGAGAGGGGCATAGGGAGAGGGGCATAGGGAGAGGGGCATAGGGAGAGGGGCATAGGGAGAGGGGCATAGGGAGAGGGGCATAGGGAGAGGGGCATAGGGAGAGGGCTAGGGGAGAGGGGCATAGGGAGAGGGGCATAGGGAGAGGGGCATAGGGAGAGGGGCATAGGGAGAGGGGCATAGGGAGAGGGGCATAGGGAGAGGGGCATAGGGAAGGGGGCATAGGGAGAGGGGCATAGGGAGAGGGGCATAGGGAGAGGGGCATAGGGAGAGGGGCATAGGGAGAGGGGCATAGGGAGAGGGGCATAGGGAGAGGGGCATAGGGAGAGGGGCATAGGGAGAGGGGCATAGGGAGAGGGGCATAGGGAGAGGGGCATAGGGAGAGGGGCATAGGGAGAGGGGCATAGGGAGAGGGGCATAGGGAGAGGGGCAATAGGGAGAGGGGCATAGGGAGAGGGGCATAGGGAGAGGGGCATAGGGAGAGGGGCATAGGGAGAGGGGCATAGGGAGAGGGGCATAGGGAGAGGGGCCATAGGGAGAGGGGCATAGGGAGAGGGGCATAGGGAGAGGGGCATAGGGAGAGGGGCATAGGGAGAGGGGCATAGGGAGAGGGGCATAGGGAGAGGGGGCATAGGGAGAGGGGCATAGGAGAGGGCATAGGGAGAGGGGCATAGGGAGAGGGGCATAGGGAGAGGGGCATAGGGAGAGGGGCATAGGGAGAGGGGCATAGGGAGAGGGGCATAGGGAGAGGGGCATAGGGGAGAGGGGCATAGGGAGAGGGGCATAGGGAGAGGGGCATAGGAGAGGGGCATAGGGAGAGGGCATAGGGAGAGGGGCATAGGGAGAGGGGCATAGGGAGAGGGGCATAGGGAGAGGGGCATAGGGACGAGGGCATAGGGAGAGGGGCATAGGGAGAGGGGCATAGGGAGAGGGGCATAGGGAGAGGGCATAGGGAGAGGGGCATAGGGAGAGGGGCATAGGAGAGGGGCATAGGGAGAGGGGCATAGGGAGAGGGGCAATAGGGAGAGGGGCATAGGGAGAGGGGCATAGGGAGATAGGGCATAGGGAGAGGGGCATAGGGAGAGGGGCATAGGGAGAGGGGCATAGGAGAGGGGCATAGGGAGAGGGGCAATAGGGAGAGGGGCATAGGGAGAGGGGCATAGGGAGAGGGGCATAGGGACGAGGGGCATAGGGAGAGGGGCATAGGGACGAGGGGCATAGGGAGAGGGGCATAGGGAGAGGGGCATAGGGAGAGGGGCATAGGGAGAGGGGCATAGGGAGAGGGGCATAGGGAGAGGGGCATAGGGAGAGGGGCATAGGGAGAGGGGCATAGGAGAGGGGCCTAGGGAGAGGGGCATAGGGAGAGGGGCATAGGGAGAGGGGCATAGGGAGAGGGGCATAGGGAGAGGGGCATAGGGAGAGGGGCATAGGGAGAGGGGCATAGGAGAGGGGCATAGGGAGATGGGCATAGGGAGAGGGGCATAGGGAGAGGGGCATAGGAGAGGCTAGGGAGAGGGGCATAGGGAGAGGGGCATAGGGAGAGGGGCATAGGGAGAGGGGCATAGGGAGAGGGGCATAGGAGAGGGGCATAGGAGAGG